AAAAAAACATACGGAAGAAACTTACAACAGGAGAACAAATGTGTGGTTGCTGAGTCAGCGTTCACACTGTTTATTTTAAGAGTTCTGTGGAAACAAACCACCTCACACAATTAACAAAACTTAATTTGCTTTAAAACCAACTCACTGACATTTGAAACATTAAGCAACCACTACAAGAATTTACAATGTGTAACAAGTTTGCAAAGAGCTGCATGGGCTGTAAAAAAAAAAAGGCTGAAAATCATTAATGTGTGCTTATGTGCTCTCCTGTAGGTCACTTAAATTCATCCCCCCTGGGACGAACACCTTGGCTTTATTCCTTTCACAGCCTCTCTGTATATTTGCTCAAATRTGTAAAACTACCATAAAAAATCTGCTCAAATTTTACCACCAACTTCACTGAATGATATTTTTTATTCAAACTTTGGAGCAGAGGATACCTGGAAAGGAAATAAGCTAAGAGGGTTAAAATGCAGCCATGCGTGGTTCTACCTTTATGTAACAAAAAAAAAAAACAATAAGGGGAAGGACAGGTGTTTTCTAAGTGTGTTGCTTTGTAATTACAGAAATAATGGACGATTCCCATTTCAACTCATCATACTTTTGGTCTCCCGTCCCCACAGTACAAGGACAGGTAGAGACAACCTTATTGTTGGAATTGTCTTCAAATGCACACAGTGGTGAAGCGATAATCACTTTGTTTTTGGACAAACTTTAAGGATTGAGTTGCTGCAGTTAAGCTCACTGTGAAGTCTTTCTTGGTGCATTCACTCGATCATATGATCACTCCTGTCCCTCTCCTCTTTCATCTCTTTATTTTCTCTTGGTTTGTGTTGATTTGTTTTGCATCTCACCACGCTTTCGTGTTCTTTTTTTTCTCCTCCCATCGCCTCCTCTCCCTGTCGCCTCACTGATCCAACTCATCCCCTCCTCTCCTTCCCTTCTCCACATTTTCTGCTCGTTATAATCTTTTTACCTCCCCCTCCTGTCCTCACGTCAACATAATCCACAATTTCATCTTTTTCATGATTCTGTTTCTGGCTCCTCGTGTCATCTTTTCCTCTTTTTTTAACCCCTCCTTAACTTTTCTAATCCACCTCCTTTTCATTTTTTATTTTGTTTACCTGATTTTACTTCCTCCCTTTCTTATCATTTTTATTATTTTTCACATTTGTCATAAACCTCCTCCTCCATTCTTCACCTCCATGAAACATTTTACCATCCCTCTCTCCTTAAATACTTCACCCTTCCCTCTTTCCTTTCTCCTCTCACCCTTGTCTAGATCGAGAACGCCATGTTCCTGAACAAAGCTAAAGATCAGCTGGGTCCAGACAAGGCCAACGTGCCCCCCTTCCCCCACTCTTCTGCGTCTTCCACCTCGTCCCCCCACTACCCCACGGCCGTGCTCGCCATCCCGAGCTCAGTGGACCCTGGGACCGGGGTGCGGGTGGTCCCCAAGCAGGAAGGAGGTGGGGGTCCRGTGGGAGGAGGTGGTGGAAATAGCAACGCCCCTATGAGTGGGGTCGGTGGCCACCTGCACCAGTCCCACACCTCCCAGAACGTCACCGTCGTGCCTGTTCCTTCTACGGGTATCATGACTGCAGGTGAGAAGGAAAACATTTTGTCCTGATTGAATCGTAACATCCTCTGCTCAGTTCTGTTATTTTATTATATTTATTTTATTTTTAACAGAAAATAAGTGAAAATTCTTCTGCAGGAGCCACTTACTCTGATCTCAACAGGTTTTAAAGTCACAACTCTGAAAGCTTCAGGAAGTAGTTTTAATTTAATTAACATAATTGGTTACAGAACGCTCCTCCAGCTGTGTCTTATTACTTTTACAGCCTTTTTTCTGTTTTATGACATGCATTGGTGCCATTAAACTCATGTCAAAATGGTTTCGTGACTGAGCAGGGCTTTAGACGAACTTTTTGCACAGGTTGCACCGGTGACTAACTTTTATCTTTAGGTGCACCAGCACAAAAGTTAGGTGCACAAAAAAAAAACAYGTTGCATTTAACATTGAAGTTTTACAGATTTGCTTTTTTTTTTTTGTCATTGTCCATTAAGTTAATATTAACTCACAAATAATTAGTTAATAATCAAGCAAAAATGAAATTCTACATTTGAACCAGAATTGAAGACAAATAACTTACTGAAAAGTATTTAAAGTGATTGTATGACGTGTTGATACTGATAGATAGCTTTATTATGGAACATGGAGACTTTTTGTTTCAGCGGGGAACCACACCCCTCCTCCTCCTCCTCGAACGACTGGGCGCACCAGTGTGACAGGAAATATTTTTAGGCGCATTGATAAAAAATATTGTCGAATTTACGACCAAATTAGTTGCGCTCTAGCCCTGTTGAGATACTTTAGTTCTGAATCCTGACAGATCTGTAAACATTTTTACTGTGAATATATTGTTTTTTTGGTTGGTTTTTGAAGCCTTAAAACGGGTGTCAAACCTACCGTAGTTACTTAAAGGGGAAAATTCTAAACTTGTTTCAAGACAAGGGCCAATTTCTGTCAATATTTATTGAAAAAATTGTTATATAACAAATTATTCTAATAGAAATACAAATAATGATGTTGCATTACGGATTAAGGCTCATCATTAGCATCATTAGCATTCATTTCTTATACCTTACTCTCCACCAACAATCTTTTGATTTATTATTTCTTAGCGAAAATTGTTATATAACAAATTATTCTAATAGAAATACAAATAATGATGTTGCATTACGGATTAAAGCTCATCATTAGCATCATTAGCATTCATTTCTTATACCTTACTCTCCACCAACAATCTTTTGATTTATTATTTCTTAGCGATACATTTTATGCAGCAAATAAGTTAAAATTTTAAAACTTTGACTAAAAATACAATTCAGTGTCTTTAAATAATAAGAGAATTGAGAAAAAAAGTAAATAAAGTTTATTCTCTGTTCTTTCCGCACCAAAAGTCAGTTGACAGATTGTCTTGTCCTCTCAGCGGGTTTAGTGATCACCACCCCACAGGGCACGCTGGTCCCCACAGCTTCCACGCAGTCCTTTGTAGCTGGACCYCACACTGCTACCACCATGATCGTGTCTGCAGTGCACCCCTCCAAYACAGGTGAGACACACAGGTGTAGTTCACCATCAGAGTCATGAAAACAGGTGTTAGATGGTGCTGTATCTTCTGAGAGTTTATATGTATGTTAGTTTTTTTTTCCAGTAAAAATACCCACTAATGAGACTTACATCCTTCTCTCTTCTTCCAGATAAGAAGGATGACATCACTGTTCCTCCTGCTGTCGTCATGCCGACACCATCAAAGCGAGGCAGGAAGAGCAAACAGATGATGAGCAGAGTGAGCGGGGTCCTTCCTCCAGGAAGTGATGCTTTAATATTGGCACATCTTGCTGCAGGTGGACAGGTGAGCTTCTTCTTGAGTGTTGCTGTATTGTTTAATGATTTATTATTAACTGTGTCGTTAATATTCTGTTACTGTTACAGCACCACAGTGCAGACCCATATGATCTGTCAAATGATGAGGACGACCATACTGGCAAAGACGGCCCTAAATCCTACAGGTAGTAAAATATATTCAGATTTAAAAAGTAATATTGTTTATTCTTTACTGTCCCTTCTGACTGCTGTTTACTGCAACACCTCTTGTTTCTCTCCCTGATCTGCCGCCAAGATGTCGGATGTGTTCGGTGACGTTCTTCAGCAAGTCCGACATGCAGATCCACGCCAAGTCGCACACYGAGGCCAAGCCCCACAAGTGCCCCCACTGCTCCAAGTCGTTTGCCAACTCCAGCTACCTGTCCCAGCACATCCGCATCCACAGCGGGGCCAAGCCCTACACCTGCACCTACTGCCAGAAGACCTTCAGGCAGCTCAGCCACCTACAGCAGCACACACGGTACTGGGCTAACTGGTTTGTGAGCTCCTGAGTGTGTGTGTGTG